TATTGTATTTAATTCTTATAGACTAAACATTTTAATAAGTGTTCTATATTTTATATTAATAATTATATGTAATACATTTTACTTGTTTATATAAATCTAATTTTTTGATTTTTGGTAGCACAACGTCACTTGGCATCTGTTTGGTTGATACAAAACACGTTAGTAGCTTAATGTAAACAATCTTCTACTGGCCACTTCATGTGTTCCAATGATGTTATTGGTGATTGAAAGAGAAATTAAGGATACAAACTCCTCCACTTCTACAAATAACATTAACTGAAGCAATGAAATCATGAAACCATTAGGATGGGCACTAAATTTCCTAGGTGATGAAAAGATGATTATTTATTCAAGCTGAGGCCTTCAATTTCTTATCATTCTAGTCAGACAAAATACGCGAAAGAGGTTATTTTCTTATCCCAGTCAGGCTATAAGACTGAAAAGCAGAGGAATGTAAAACACTACTTTTCTCTAGAATTGAAAATGTATTTTCCCAAATATTATGTAATAATATTGTAATCAACAAGAATCTCCATACTCTGCAAGACCCTTCCACTATTGCAAGGCAAAAAAATAATTAGAAAATCTGACTTTTTGGACAATGGAAGATACACACTGTCGTGGGTTTTCCTGGTAAGTCCGTCACTAATCCGTAGTGTCTTGCGTAATTTAGACTTCTCAAGAATACTCACAAATGACACAAAAAAGAGAACGCCTCCTATAAAGAACACTTAGGGAAGGCAGAGGCATGGTGATTGACTTGGCTGAAGGTAAGTGTCTTTTTATTGAGTTCTGTTTCTTTGATATATCACTAACTCTTATCTCTATTCTCAATGAGGGCTGTTTTTCCTAACACATTTAGCTCTGCCTTTTTGGTATATATTGGTAAGCTATTTATACTTTTCTATCTAACAATAGCTATCTACTTTATAATCAGCCATACTAACTCTAAGCTTTGCTAAACTTTCTATACTTTTCAGATATACACAGTTCCCTTATCAATATCCAAGCCTTATCTATAGTTTTTTACCTTGCAATATTCAATCTTTTATGCCAGACTTTCGAGTTATTGGATTCTAGACCATTACGCGTAAATTGTGTTATCCACATGACCCATAACAACATCAGTAAAATTCCTTTAACTAGATATGGCTGCTGAAAGATATCAGAAGTTATACAATAAGATTGAAAAGCCATATAAGAATCTGGGATCTATCATTAGTCATTTTGTTCTGCATGAGTGAATAATAAATCAAGATTGAAAGAAAGAAAGCATTGAGCAAGATACTAGATTCGAGTAAATGACAAGTACCTCAGATGATCATAAGAAAATAATCAAGAGTATGGATAGATAAGTTCCTCAGATGATTAGGAAGAAGAAGGATATTCCAAAAGAGTTGATTCCTAATAAGAAGAGATTTCTAGTAGAGGTTTTTTGGAGGACATGAAGCAATTTTAAATTTTTTTTTTCTTTTTATTTTCATGTAGTGTACTTGCACATTTTTAGATAGCCCCTTTCCTTTTATTTTTTCCTTTCTCCTTTTGTAGTTTCTCAAATTCAGTTCCTTGGAGGATGATAAGCAATAACAACCTGTTGACAATGATGAATAAGTTTGAAGGGTTTTTATCCAAAACTTAGTTCAGAGTGAAATATTGTTCCCAAGGTTGCACTTAGAGGCTGAAGCTTTTTTGAGAATTGAAAGATATTGACAAGTATATCAGTATGAGTCTTTTAGTTTAGCATGATGCAATTGTCCTATATATTTCAATCAGTTTCTTTATGATTCATAAACACACAGTACTGGCTTGACCAAGAGTTTAAAAAAATAAATAAATAAATAAATTTAATCTTTTAATAGTCAGTTTGTTCAAGATTGATAGTTTATCATTAATCAATTTAATAAAAAAACTTTATATTAAAATTGTTTGAAAGATATATCTCATATACAGTATATCTATCTTTTATTCTCTTCTATATTAGATTCCATTTATAGACCTATTAATCTAAAATTTGATAGAATTATTTTTTCTGATTTATTTTATTGTATTTATTAATAAGCAGTTGTTTTATTGTTAATATTCTTAGCAAACTGTCTGATTGAATAATTTACAATTATATTTTATTACTTTATTTCTGTGAGTATTTTATATAAGATGAAATTATTCTATTTAATCAATAAAAGTTTTAAGAATTTTTTAACTAGAATATTAACTTTTTCATTATAAGAATTATTGATATGTATCTTGACTTTAGTAAGCTTTAGTTTTTTTTTTTTTTTTTTTTAATCTACAATTAGGTTAGCATGGCATGTCTTTATTGTATATATGCTAGATATTTACAAATTGTTATGACTTTTACATACTAACCCAGCCAGTTATCCCGAAAAATAATTTCAGAAATCAAATAGTTTATAGTGCGTATCTGTGATGATTCGATTTTTGATCTATTGCACGTACAGTAAGTACAGTATATCGCAGCTAATCGCAAATACAAAGACATTGTTCTGAATTCATTTGGTCGTAAATGAGATCAGGGTGATGTAAAAACGTGAGAACTTATTAATTGAGAACCCGAGGGCTTTTCTTCTTAAATACACAAAGGGGTAACAATTTACCCCTCGACGACATTTATGGTGCAACGTATTATATGCATCATTTGTACATACGTTACATTTTTAATTACACGTGAAAGCGTGAAAGCAAATAAAATAACCGGCTTAGGTAGCAGAAGAATAGGTGCATTTATGTACGGGCATTCTTTAATTCCAAACATATTTTGTTTTTAAAATAAACAAATAAACGTGAGAGATTGTGCAACCAATTCCCTCCGATTACTCTCGATTTCTCTTTTTCTGCTTCTCAGAAGCCCCACACGATTTGTTGCCGCGGTGAAACTCTCCAACCCAGCACATCCAATTCGACCTTTTCAGCCGAACAATTTGTTTTCAATGAGAAATTTATCGAGCAAATCAATATAACCTTTAAATAAAACACAATGGGTTTTAAGAATATTAGTTTGGGATCATAAATATTCTTCAGTTATCCCAGTTATTCCGAGAGTCATATAATATCGGGTGACCTTTCTTCGAAATCGACTAGTATATTATACAGACAGTTTGCTGCCATTTGCTTGTTAATTTATTCACATCAGAATTTTTGCCCCTCAATCGCATCCAGGGAAATCTAGAAACCATAAAATACTGTAGATAGAAGGGAGGGAGGTGTGGAATATTCGTACGTTGAATGTTTCAATAACAAAGATCATTTCTTTCCCACGTTCAAAGTGAGATTTTACATTGTCGCTTTATCACGATTGTTGCGATTTAATTAATTCGATGTCCTTGTGAGTAATCTACTGTATCTCTGCATCTCTGCAGAGGCGTTATTAAATCATCGTAAGAGAAGTACCCTTAGTTATTGATTTTTGATAATAGTTGATAAGCTTCCTCGGTTGACGTTTATCCTGAAATTCTTGGATGTGTCAGCATGAGTCCTTGGGAATTTCTTTTTTATTATTCTTGAATAATTCCCGAATCTAATATGACGAAGGAATAAATTTTCATAAAATAAACTTCAAGGCTGCAAAGATATTCGACTTTTTATCGACTCAAAAGTTCTGAAACAAAAAAAAAAGTACTCCTCCTCCTCTTCCCCCTTCACTAGTTCTTGGTGTACTTACTATCAATGAAATTCAATTTAGCCCGCTTGAGATGCCCATGGGCGATGCCAACCTTGTTTGTTTGTCTGATTGAAGGTTATCATGTTGAAGCAGAGTAATATGATTCGGTGGTGAGATCCCGATTAACGATCAGCTGCAATCATTTAAAATTCACTGAATACCCGTCACAATGTTGTGACTACGGGAATCACGCGATACACGCATTAACTCGAACGAATACGTAAATGGGTTTTCCTCTTTTAAAGATTCCTCATATGGTTCGTCATTGTCAATGTTGGATATGCTTTTTGGCGCAAAGTATCATTCTAGAACACTTAATATACCTCGCAAGTCCGATGTTTCGATGTTTTCAAATTTATTATAACGAAACTTTTTCATGTACAGTAATCACCGATCATCCCTTTCGGTCAATGGAGAACATGGTGGTGGAGTTTCATAGTTACGCATTTACCACCAGTGTAACCAGCGTGAGAAGATTTTTCATTGTCACGGAGTGTGTGTTATCAAAAAACATGTACCACCATGCTTACTGTATGTACGCACATATAAATAAACTCGAGGATTTCAAGTTGAAGATTGTCATTCCACAATGTAACGCATTCTTTGAATGATTTCCATATGCGATGCACAATTTTTTTGCTTCACGCAAAGTGTGAACAAAATCATTTATATAATTAATAACATGATGGCTCATGAGATAACAAATTTGATGGCGCCTTCTTAATGCCGGTTAATGAAAGGAGATGAATTGCTCATTTCTTTGTAGCATTCACTTGTAAACACGTGAGGCCAAATGTGGTTACGTGATACGTGGTACGTGGTACGTGGTACGTGATGCGTGATATGTGATGCGTATTTGACAATGTGACTTTGGAAGTGCCGGAGTCAGATGCGGGCTGAATGGTCATGACTCCGTCAAGCAGTAACAGACATGCAAACTGGTTAAGCACCGTACCACATGCACATTGAAATCGGTCATGGAAACTTTCTGTGATCCTGGTCCTCACTAACTTGCCACTTCGTTCACTTGCACAATGAATTAATAATACGCATTATGTTGAAAATAATAGTACTTTTTTAAGAGGAAAAAAAAAAAAGAAGTGATTTTATTTGCAAGAAACTTTTGAGAATAATAAATACATATACATATATAATGCTGCTAACTGTTATACAATAATTGAGATATCTATTGTTACTTTTGACAGCTTGTTGTTCGCTGTGATCACCGACTTAAAAAACTTATCATACATGGTTATTATTATTTTTTTATTTTTCTTACATAAATCGCTTCGCTCAACAATAATATCATTGCGCGAGCAATCTAGTCGTACTCGTAATCACATCCTATTGCGGAATTAATTATATCACAAATTTTCCATGCATCTGCGTTACCGGGTTCCAACTCCAGTGACCGATGTAAGTCATTCAAAGATTCTTCATATCTCCCCAGCAAACAGTAAGTCATTCCGCGAATGCGTAGTAAATCTGCATTATTCGGCTCCAGATCCAGTGACTTGGTTGAATCTGCTAGGGACTCCTCGTACTTTCCCAGTATACTGTACGTGTCCCCACGAGTTATCAGTGCATCTGTGTTGTCCGGCTCCAAGTCCAGAGATCTTGTTAGGTCTTCTAGTGATTTTTCATATTGGCCTAGTTGACAATATGTTTTCCCACGGATTCTCAAAAGATCGGCGTTATTCGGCCTTAGGTCCAGTGACTTGTTTATGTCGGCCAAGGACTCCTCATATCTGCCCAATAGTAAATATATTTTCCCTCGAATTCTTAGGGAATCCGCATCGTTCGGCTCCAAGGCCAGTGATTTATTCAAGTCGACCAAGGATTCTCGATCTTTCCCCTGTGAGAAATAGATCTTTCCGCGAGTTCTTAATGCCTCTGTGTTATTTGGTTCTATGGAAAGTGATTTCGTTAAATCCATCAAGGATTCTCGATCCCTTCCTTGCAAGAAGTAGATCCTTCCTCGAATTCTCAGTGCCTCCGCATTATATGGCTCAAATTCTAGCGACTTTGTCAAATCAGCCAAGGACTCTCTATCCTTTCCCTGTGAGAAGAAATATTTTCCACGAATTCTTAATGCTTCTGCGCTCTCTGATATCGTTGGACCCATTCCTGGACCCGTGCCGAAATTATTTAGAAAATTCATTGTCAGTGAAATTTTTTATAGCCGAAGAAATGAATGGTTGCAAGAATTGTGAAAGAAAGACTTGGTTTCCGTCATTAGGGTCGGAATACTGTCCTTTAAAAATATTTCTGAATTTGAACCTGTGACCTCGAAATGATTTTCTAAGGGAACAAACAATGATCTGATGACCCAAACAAAAAGATCTTTTTTATGGTCCTTATTTGCGCAAGATGCACACGTGATCGGTGACAAATTTATTCCATCAATTCTAAGAATCACATTTTTGGGAACAACAAATTGGTTATCGATTGTTTAAATCTTGATTTAAAATCACGCTAATCACGCTAATCACGCTTCACCTTGAGCACAAAATTATATTTTTAGAAAAAATGACGATAAGGTGGAAGTGTGACCATAGGAATTTCAAGTTATGTTGACCGGTTGAGTGCCATATAAGGTGAATTTATTATGCATGCGTAAGTTTCACATCGATGGGTATTCTTCACAATACGTGTGTTTCATCCTCTCCAACAGCGAATCCTTTTTTTATACTCGGCTCTCTTGATCAAAGACACTGTTGAATTGGTTAAGGTTTCAAAGGATGTCTTTGACGTTGTGCGACATAACAAGTTAATTGGATCTGCTAGATTAGACCTGAAATTTACTATTTTTCTTCCTCGATTTTCCGATGCGCCCCTTTCAAACTAGGGTACTGCGTGTCAAATTTTGGATCGAGTGGACTCATGATTTACGTGATACTACGTACGTACGTATGTACACGTATGCACATACGTATGTCGTATGTGTGCTTTTTTTTTTTTTTTTTTTCAATACTCTTACTGTGCGCATGCATTTAAGTTTATGCAACAATAAAAAAAAAAAAGGTCAGGCGAACTTTTTTCTTCTTCTGTTTTTTTATGTAATAGCCAATGAACAAAATTAAAAAATAGGTGTGCATGCCATTTACTTATAAAGTTGAATAATGTTAAATAATTTGTATTTTCATGTTTCGATTTTTGAAATCTACAAAATGATGTTTTGAAGTTGTTTCAAATTTTTGAAATCTACAAAATGATGTCTTTGGAGTTGAAATAAAAATGGTATGCATGCTATATATACTGTATATATTTAGAATAAAAATTTAAATTTAAATCGATAATTAATATAAAATATGATTTGAATGATATTATAAAAATAAAAATCAAATTATAATATTCTATTTTCATAAATATGTGATTTCAATTGTTTAAAAAACTTATTTGTTTAATCTAATTTTCTTTCTTTTTTTTTAATTTATTATTGAATTGACATGACTTGTCTTATTATATATTAAAAAAAAATAATTATAGTTTAAATGACTTTTATATATTAAAAAAAAAATAATTGTAGTTTAAATGACTTTTATATATTAATTTATTTGTCATTGAAACTTATTCTCTTCAAATATAACTTAGAAAATAATATTTGTCTTTTATTATAATTTGAATTATCTTCTAATGATAAAGTTCTTTCTCATAGATTATTATTATAAATTTTTCAAAAAAACAAAAAAAAACTCTTTCTATTAATCCTCTAGTTACATACAAAAAAAAAAACATTTACAAGAAATTTTTTTACTTTTTGCAATCAAGTATTAATACTTTTATTAAAACAACTTTAATTGTAACTTCTAAAGTTGTTTTGATTCTTTTTTTTCTTATTTATAAACCACTTTACTCAAAAACTTGACTTCTAATAATTAAAAAAAATTAAGTAACATCTTTAATATCAATAGTAAGAAAGTTTTCAAAGAAAAAACAAACTATAAAATATTAAAAGATTTTTTCAACCTTTGAAATAAAAGAATATAAGTGTTTTTATATAATAGAAAAACTTATTTTTTCCCTTTCGGATTGTCATAATTCTTTTAGAACTTTCACTTTTATAGTTTTTTGAAAAATTTGATTTATCTCCATTTGAACCTGAATTCAAATAACACATTCTTATCAAAAATAATTAATCAGCACAAAATACTTTAGTTTATAAAATATAAATAGATTTCTATTAATTATATTTATATATTTCAATAATATTAATAATAACTAAAAAAAATTTCAGAAATTATTTTTTTTCAAAAGTTTCAAATTCTTAAAGAAGATATTCAAGCTATTAAAAATTAAAAGACAAGTAATATAAATTATAAAACTTTATCTTTTTAAGTTTCTCAGATAATAAGAAAATTTTTCTAATTAGAAGTTAAGGTTTTTATATTTTCTTAAGTTATTTTAATCTAATACCTACTTAAATAATAAATCTAGTTGAATTGACTTATTTAATATTATAGTTAATGACAAAAAAATTTTTTTTCTGAAGTTTAAGTAAAAGTATAAAAAATATTTCAATTTGATAAATTCTTTTTAAAAAAATATTGTTCAGTTAATAAACTTTTTTAAAAAACTTTAAATTATACTCTTTTATCTTTTTTTCTTTCTCTTTGTTAACTAAATAATTCATAGTTTTTAAACAATCTACAGTAACAAACTATTAATAATAAATTTAGTAAATAGAGATTTATATCAATTTTCTAAAAAATAAAATATTGTTTCCTAGACTTAACTTAAAATACTTTGGTGTAATAAGAAGTTACTTATTAGATAAAAAATCTGTAATATTATATATATAGTAATTAATAAACTTTTCAATAAAGATTAAGTTATATAGTATAGTTGTAGATTAAAAAAAAAAGTAAATCTTTCAAAATTCTATTTAATAAATTAAAAATCCAACTATTTTTTTTTTTATTATTTATAATTTAATAACTTATTTCAAGTATATATTATATATAGAATATATTTTTCAAATATCATTTTTTAAGTATAAAACTATTTTTTATTTCAAAATCTATTATATTATTAATAATCTTATTTCTTGAGATTTTATTTTTTTTTTATTTTTCTATATTATAGTCTTTTTTTAAACATTTACAATAGTATATTGCTATTTCAAATTTTAATCTAAAAATTTTTTTATATTTGTTTATAAAGTTTATTAATTGCTTTTTTATAATAATTTATTTTTTTTTGTATTAATCCTAAAGATATTCTTAAATAATTTTGACTCTATCTTTAATTATATACAGTAATTATAAATCAATTTATAAAATATTAATCTTGATATTGCATTTTATTAAATTAATTAATAGTTTTTTTTTAACTAATTTTTTATTTATTTATAGTAATCCTCTTTTTTTTTTTTTTTTGTTAAATATAAAATCAATTTATTATTTAATTTTTTTTTAAATCTCTATTCTATTAATACAAATTATTAAATATTCAAATAAATATTTAATTATCTTATTTTAAATTTTATATTTTTAATAAACTATTATTAATTATATTTTCAAAATTTTTTTTCAAAATATTTAAAGTATAAATAATTTATAATGTATTAAGTTTATTAAAAAACTTTTATCTTTGTTAATTTTAATAGATATCTAGAATATATATTATAAATAAAATTAGTTTCAAAAGATTTTTAATCTATTTTAGTTTTTTATTATCCCATTGTTTTTGAATACTTTTTTGACTAATTGAATTTAATCCAATTTTTTTTATTCTAATTTTTAGTAATTTTTATAATAATGATATTAATAATTAGATTTGTTCAAGTTATAATAAAAAAGATCCATTTAAATTTAATATATGATATATTGTTATATTACATAATTTTTTTTTAACTTGTTAACTAAAATATTTATTTCATTATTGAAATTGATCTGTGAGTCAATAGCACAGTGGGTATGCTCCCAGGTCTCTATCTGCAAGTTACTGGTTCAATCCCACGTCAAAACAGTAATAGCATTTATAGGTTATGTTGTACAAGAATATATACTAATCAGTTATATGCATACTTGAACATAAAATACAATTTATAGAAAAACCTACCATCCGACTACAGTGTTATAAATAAATCATACAGGTCCTGGTCAGTTTTAATAACAGGAAAATAAAAGATCTCTACTGTCCAGAATATGTGAAAGACACCTAGCAAGCCAGGAAGGATTCTGATCAGTCCAAGATCACCAATAAATATGTGAGAAATTCACCTTTTCTCAAAAAATATCTTCTGAAAGAGATGGGAGACTTAGGTCGCTAATACCAATTGAAAAGATAACTAGTATAGGCTGGAACGCACCATGGGAGATCTTAGATCGTTAAATCAATGGCTACCAGAGAGGACAGTTGCATACCTAGGCTGGTGATTAGCATTTAGCGTTATGATGGAAATCACAGGTGCAGACCCTGGGAGAAGAAATTTGAAAACAATCACCAAGGTAACCAATCCAATGGAAGGAGCAATTCGCTACGAAGTTATCAAAGAAAACCCCTATAGGCCATATTTAAAGAGTGGTTAAGAAGGATACAATGGAAGACTACATGTCGATCACTGGAGCATACCATTGAATCGCCGAAATTTCATCATATATTATTGACCTTGTACAACCAGAAATCAACCAAGCCTCCTTAGAACTTAATACAGTAGAAGATCTACTACAGTACTCACAACAAAAATGGCACACAACACTATACAAAGGAACATACATCCCGAAGCTCTCTGTTTCATTCTCAATAAAGTTCCCTAATAAATCCTCGGAACATTAGATACTTGGGCAGAGCAAGGTAACTGATAAAATAGTACTATATATGGTAAAATTGGCAAGGTCGAATATAAAATTAGATTTGGCATAAAACAGGTTAGGTGAATAGCTCATGTAATCCAAGAAGCCTACTATTTCAATAAAAGACTCATGTCCATCAGTTAGGATGTCAAAAAAAAAAAAAAAAAATTATTGAAATTGTTTTTTTATAAGTTTTAATTTTTTTTTGAATTAGATCTTCAATTTATATTCAAAATAATTAATTAATTATCTTAATTCATTTTTTAATACTATAAAAAATATAAATTTGTAGTTTTTTATACTTTAATAATTATATTTCAATCTATAT